TGCACCGCCTGCCGCCCCACGTCCAGCAGAAGTTTGTCCGCCTCAAAGGCCGGGACAAGCTGCCCGAACTGCTGCAGCTACTCAAGGAGCACCCGGCGTCCGGCGGGGCCATCCTCGTCTTCTGCAACAGCGCCAGCACTGTCAACTGGCTGGGCTATATCCTGGATGACCACAAAATCAAGCACCTGAGGCTGCAGGGACAGATGTCGGCGGCTGCTAGAGCTGGCATCTTTGCCTCCTTCCAGAAGGGTGACGTGTCTGTCCTTGTCTGCACTGACCTTGCCTCACGGGGGCTGGACACCAGCAGCGTGCAGCTAGTGGTCAACTATGACTTCCCAGACACCCTGCAGGACTACCTGCACCGCGTGGGGCGAGTTGGACGGGTTGGAAGCAAGGCGCCTGGAGCCGCGGTTAGTTTTGTCACCCATCGGTGGGATGTGGACCTGGTGCGGAAAATAGAGACCGCGGCCCGGAAAAGGACGGGTCTCCCGGGCATGGACTCCTCTGTTAGTAAGCCTCCACCTAAAGGAGGTTGATTCAGGTTGCCGAGCAGTAATAAATGGCCTGGTAGGGACTAAGCTTGAAGTCATTAAAGCAGAGCGAATGAGCTTGTATGTAAGCGAGACTGGAAGACTAGAGAAGTGAGTGTCAGAACCAGGTGATCAGGTTAACTTTGTGCACCCTTCTGGAAGATGCAGAAGTCATTTCCATAGGCATCACAACTCACGGCTTTCCAAAAGGAAGCCAGCTTTGGAGAAGGTAGCCAGACTTTGGAGAGGACTGAAGAATGATCTCATCACTGGATTTTGTTTAATTTTATTGGGACTTTTAACTTAAATTCAAATCAGAATGAAAGCATGCCGTATGATGTGCTCTCTGTTGTGTTTGATTACTTCCCACCACCAGCAGCTAAACATTCATTATTAAAACTTAAAATTTACTACGGGGCAGGAAAAAAAAAAGAAAATACTTTCCTAACTTTGATATAACTTTGACCAATTATAGATACATGTAGAAAGACTAAAGGGCAAATTGTATTTGATTTTCTTGTGATATAGCAGTTCATTCAGAGAATTCTAGACCAGATACCTCTGAAGTTCGATAGGAACAAGAAGGCACAGTAAAGCTTGAGGCTTTTTCAAGGTCTTAATTTGTCATTTTATGGTTACTTTTCACTGAGAAAAGGGATGTTGCTGCTTCATGTTCTGTTAAATAAATTAAAAAAAAAGCATTTAAGTGTGTTCTCATTTTTTCCGCATGCTGTAATGTCTCGCATTAAAGGAAACAAGTATGTTGACTCACAGGTTTTAATGACTCGCAGGTAATGGAGTGAGTACAAGATTTCTTTTGAATATCGTGCTATTGATAACCAAAAGGATTAAAGTGAGGCTGAGGTTATTTCATATCTAGCTGCTAGTTTGTATCCATGGGAAATAACCAATCACACAAACCCAGCATTTTATCTCTGATTTCTGTTGCAGTTATCTATCACAGCCTTTTCTTTTAGTGGTTGTTTTTCCCATGCTGTCCACTTTAGCCTGTGCAAAAACTCCGTAAGCAGAAATAGTAAGCTGTTGAATGAAAAGATCACAGCATAGTATCTAAATCTTTGGTTTCAGAGGAAATAAAGCACTGGAGCTACTCTTATTCATAGTATACTGAGAGTAAAAACTGAACAAACAGAAAACTTGCACAGATAATCACTTAAGGATAAGGCTATATAACCTTATCCTAGAAATTGTACGCATGTACTCTGTTCACGCTGCACAGTTAAGGGGTTCTTAGAGGAAGTTACAAGCTGTGGTAAAATTACTTAATGCAATAGAAAGCTTTTGACTTTATAGAAATACAGTGGAAGAGCGATCCACTCAGAGACTGGAAACCTTTATATTTTGGACCCCTTCATTGCATGGACTACTTGCCTCTCATCTGTAGTTCATTTAACTGCAGATCAGGCAATTTATGTGTCCACAAGCAGAAGCTTACTGTTCATGTATAGGAGTAGGGTAAATCCTTAAACAGAAATCTGGGGGCAATCTAGTATTATAATTTACAGAAGATCCTATTTCCATTTGTTAATGTGCATCTTATCAGGTTGTATCAGGTCCTCTGAACTGCTGAGAAATAGCTTCCTTCAATTGTAGACACACAGATTAATGGGGTAAATTCTATTCAAGAAACTCCAAATAAGAAATTTTAATATTTGCTTGCCTGCTTTGCCTAAGCAATTTCAGGCTGACTCCATCTCAAGTGTCACATAATTTGAATCTGATCTTTTTCAAAGCTGTAGCACTTCACTGTATTAGCATAAATACCAAGTTACTACCTGCTTCATAAAGCATCTTTCTTTCCCGAGGCAGCTGGTGATGGTGACCATACTTCCCAGTTCAACATACAGGGGTTGCCCTTTTAATTTTCTGAGGAAGATTGTTGCTTGGGATCTCAGATGTCGGACTTCAAATATTTGTCTTCTCATATAGCTGTTATACAGGAATAAATCAATCAGTTGTTTGGGCTAAAAATTCCTAACTCTTGCAGATGTTGCATACTGTAATACTTTGCTCTATTACCTACGCTTTCCAGCTAAATAATGCAACCAAAGTTAACCACAGTTAAATGATGTCACATAAACAATAACTTCTCACGCAAGATCCATGGTCGAACTATGTGGCAATGGTCATTCATAATTAATGCATTGCTAATTTGTATCAGTAACTAAGTGGCATTGGTGATAAGAGAGTAGTTTTTTTCTTGAGTTAAAATATGTGGAAGGAAAATGGGAGGAAAGTTGAACTCTGACAAATTATCCAGATTATAAAAGGCAACGTGGCCATACTTGACATTGAGGTATAAAATATACATGTTAAAAACGAGTGATTGGTGTACATTACACATGTTACAGAAATTAATTGTATGTGCTCTGATGGTTGTAACAAAAGATGTTGAAGATGTTCTACAAGGTTATATTTGGATGGGTTTGTTATGTTTTTTAGATGTATAATTTGTCATTTAACTTCTGTAACTCACTTTTAAAAACTCAGTAACGTAGTCTATGAAACTGGAATTACGTTACGGTGAATCCCATGACAGGTCAGTCTCGATTGCAGCACACAATAGTATCAGATTAGACAATACCATGAAATAATAAAGTTCTTTCAGCCATATGCTTCTTAATTTTTAAGTAATATGCACGTTATATATTTACAAACAGTAACCTTGAACTTCGTACAAATGCTCTAAACTGATCGTTGCTAGGCCACCGTTAATCAAAACAGTTTATTAAAAAAAAAAAAAACAAAACAAAAAACTTTTGGCATTTTCATACTAAAGTGGCCTATAAAAAGCTTTGTGTATATATAGTCAGAGAACACTATATTTACCAATAAAACCTTTTGTAAACATTATTTTCAAACAAAACCACAGTTCTTTTAAGCATATATTGAGAAATACCACTTTCCTACTGTTGCTCACAAAGAGACAGTTACTGGAGCCAGCGATTAACAGCAGTAATTACATTCAGGAGCACACAGACATTCGAACCCTGGGATACATAAGCTGATACAGAGCCACCACATGCAGACATCCACATCACTGACATACGTCATGTGAAAGGTTTTAGTACCCAATAGGTAAATACTATAGCAAAGCCTTCAAGGAGATTTAGAGACCCTATCACAGCTAGCAAGCTAAAAATATATGTCGCTCATACATGGTCAAACTTGTTTAAGACAGACAGACATATTCAAAGACTTTTTAGTTTGACTTTTCCCAAACTGCTTTTCAGTGCTCTCTAAATATCACATCACCCATTGTTCACATCCTAATGACTGTCTACACACATAATTAACTGCTCTTTTCTTGCCTGTCCATATTCTACCTTCTAGTGTAACTCTTATTTTAGACTTTACGGGCACAACTACAACTGCATGCAAGTTCTGTCTTATGGGCACTACAAGGACATTCAGATACTTCTGTTGCACGTAGCCCAGCACCTAGCAAGGTACCGTAGGGCAAGCTGTGTCAAGTGTCGTAACAGCCGGATGGAAAATGCCTCCTAGCACTCTGGTAATCTGACAAAGTCCACATTTTTGCAGGCTGTACTGCTCCCTGGAATGCACTTGTATACCTGTTCTCCCCAGACAGCATCCTTTCCCCTCCTCTTCCTCCTGAAATGTATTTGTGAGCCCCATTTACACATTAGTGGTCGAGTGCGTGGTAGAGAAGTTCTCCATGCATATTCTGACCAGTTTATCAGTGAGAACCGGCCGCAGGAAGAACTTGCAGGTGAAGACTTGCCGGCAGGCCTTGCGGAAGTTTTCGGAGAGGAAAGCGTAAATGATGGGGTTGATACAAGAGTTCCCGTAGGCTAAGCAGTGAGAGATGATGCGGAAGGTGAAGGAGATGTTGTTCAGGGGAAAATGCCCAAACGCTGCCCACATCGTGATGATGTGGTGTGGCAACCAGGAGAGCAGGAAGACGGTGACCAAAAGAAGCACTGTCTGCGCTGTCTGGAAAAGACAAGATCACATATTAAATGGTGTCTGTGGTATGAGTGAGTTTGCCTTCCTCTGTCAGTAGTGAAGGCAGCGTAACACAGGCAACACTGATGACTACCAGGTGGGAAAATTATGACAATATGAAAAAGGATGCTAAAAACCAACTCTCCTCCCTGGAAAACAGAATTGCCTGGTTCTGGCTCAAGCAAATAACTCTGTAGGCAATGGAGATAGTGCCCATAAAACCTCAAACAATACAGAGGCTGCAACAGTAATGCTAACTATGTTACATGGAAGAGTGGAAATAATATTCCCTAACATTTGGAGGCTGAAGAACATTAAGGCTATGGAAAATAACTGCAGGGGAAAACAGGCTGGCTGCAAGGAAAGATGCTACGGAGAGGAGTAACAAAGACTGACCTGAGGAGAAAGATTTTTTCCAGTAGCTTCCCTCTTACAGGGGAAACCAAGAAAAACAACACATAGAGAGTTATTTTTTTAAAAATATGCAGTGCTCTTTGGTTAGAAATATTCCTAGCTAGATGATTACCTGAGGGAGGCTCACTGTGCCTGTGGGATCCCAGCCTGAGTGCTGGCTGGGTTAGAGGTGTGACCCTGCAATGCTTGCTCTCCAGTTAGGCTGGCCAGCCACCATCCCAAGCTATCGTTTGTAAGCCCCAAAGCTTGACCTGAGGTAAAATTTTCCTGAAAACAGCGTTCTTTCAAGTCACCATCCAAAATGAAAGTTAACATGAGGTGAGCTGCTGACTGCAGCTGTGGTAGCCCCACAGCTGTGGCTGGGGAAGAGGAACCAGGGCTGAGGTGGTGCCTTGGGAGGACTGAGGAACGTAGCGGAGCAGCATGAGGGGCTGGCTGGGTGCTGCCAGGGTGGGAAGGGTGCAGGGCGAGGCAGCCTTGACCAAAGGTAGGTGGTATGAGCTGCTTGAGCTGTTTTGGTGTGATTTTTAGTAGGCTGTTTCTTTGGGTTTTGTTCTTTTGTTGATGGGAAATGGTAGCTTGGGGAGAGGGGCTCAGGCTGTGAGGGACCTGGGTGGGGAGAGGACTGAAGGCAGACCGAGGTGGCTGTGTTTTGGGGCTGTGCATTCAGGCTGTCTGCTGTCCCTGAGGTGGAGATCCTCACCAATATCATTGCCCTGTAAATATTGCTGTGAAGTTAATGTTCAGGGGACCTGCAAGATGCATACCAAGAAATAACCCAGTCTTTATTGAAAATGTCTTTTTCCTCTTGAACAAAAACTCCTCAACCTAGTATAGTTAAGGGTGTGTGTTACAAGAAAAGCACTCTTTTTAAATTTTTTTGTTTATTTTTTATTTTCCTGGAAGCCTTTGAAGAGGATGAAGAATGACTTTTATTTACTGTAAGCTACAGTAAATAAAATTAAAATGTAAGTCACTTCATCTTCTTTTCTGTAAGACCCTGAGGCCTGTGGGAGTGGGACCTCACTTTTTAAGTTTAAGAATGCTGAGGGTGTTGCTTTTCTCTCACTTTCTACTTCTAGCACACTCAGTGAATACCTAGCAAGGCTCAGAGGTTACTGACTTGATGCCACTGAGAGCTTTTCCTAACTTTTTTGGAGGGCTAATTCCACCTGGCTTCATGAGTTTTCAAAAATACTAATGGTAATGAAGGTCAGCATTTTTTTACATATTTAATCCTGCCTTTCGGGGGTACTGTAGCAGATGCACAGCAGGTGACTTCCCTCCTCTCCCCCCACCTGATTTTCAGCAAAATGTGTGCTTTTCAACTTTAGTATTTAGTGTTTCTCATTTATATTTTGTCTTTTTAATAAATATAACTGCCCAATATACAGGTGATATCCTTCCACTAAGCAGAATTGTTATACAAGTAGCAGAAAAGCAATGGAGGAAAATTAAAACTTAGGCTTCATTTCAGCTTAAGGTTTACAGCCTTACTAGTCTAGGTCAATGCTTCTGTCAATAATTCCCTTGCATGATTTCAAGTGAATAGCGTGTAATTACTTTCCTAGAAGAGGGATAATTTTCTAATGAACAAAAACTCATTTAATCAGTGGTTATAATGGCTACATCTAGTAGTTGTTTTGTCTGCTAGAGAAGACCTGCAACATTTCGTATCTCATTTTAAAGCACTCTATCACTATACCTGTTATGATAAAATGTATAAATAGAAGTCATAAAGACTCGGGCTTACATATATCTAACACCAAAACACCTAAGCTTGAATGATCTTTTAGGAGAAGGGAAATCTTTTTCTCAGCCCTCCCAAAATACAGCAAATACAACAGCTGCTGCAAAACCTCTGTATGTTCTCTGACCACTGCACAGTTGGCATGACTTGCGAAATTAAGCACATCTGCCACACGGTATTTCAGTGGTGATTCATGTAGCTGGGTAGAGCTGGGCTCGGGAAGGAGATTTTTTGGATCCCCGTTAAACTGGGAGGGCATTTCGTGGGTTGTTTGCTCCTCTGTTAGTACTCTCTGTGGCTGTGTGCTTTGGGTGAGACGGAAATTGCAGCATGTTTTAGTTAGTCTGCCCCCCTATGGCATATGCTTGGCCTTGTTGGAAATGTAATATGAGGAAAATAAGGGAATTATGAGTACCAGAACTAATGAAGCAAGGTTTCCTAAGGAATTCTATCTTAGATGGATTCTCTGGTGCCCTAAAAGACAGTAGTGGTACAACCAAAACACTTCTCCTCAGAGCATTTGCAGTCTTTCCCTTGTCAGTGGCTCTCCAAATACTTAATAAAATTTCACTTGTCTGGAGTCTGCTTTAATGATGGCTTTTTTTTGTCTTCCTGTATCAGTGTGTTAGGCATCATGTTCATGAATGTATACTGGCTAACAGAAGTCTTCTGTATTGCAGACTAACTGCCAAGATCATGTCCTGGAGATGATGACAGCATGGAGAAATGACAGCATGCTCCAGGAAAGAGT